TTCTCAGGCATGGGATATACCAAAACCTACTCAGATACATATTTTTTATAAAGTCAGCATTTGCAGAAGGATTTCACGAGAATTCAGTGGCAACTGTCAAAAGTTATGATCTGATATTTTATTGTGTCTACTATCTAGCACTCCAACATTCCCCAAAGCTACCAACCAACATTTTTGAACATTCTGAAAGTTGAAAAGTGAGTTTATCTAACCTTAAGGTCTGGAGAGCAAGGCTTACAGCTCCATTATAGAACAGACATTAATAAAGCCAGTATGAAGTACAATTAGCTCCCTGAGACAATACATAAATAATGAGAACATTTGTTCCCAAAGTTAAATTAGCACAATATGATAGGGAGTATTGACCTGTTGAAGATTAGTTGGGTGTAAAAACGTCCAGGAGTAGAATATACATGACCACATCAGTTGCTAAGGCAATTGTTAATAAGTTGTTGCTAATTAAAACATTTAAATCAATGATAATGTCCTGGTGAACTTTTTACATGTTCAAATTCCTGAAACCATATTGATTTTATCATGTATAAATTATTTTATAACTTGATTTTATAACTTTCAGAAGTTAATATTCCAGAAAACATTGTGATTTTATATACTTTTCCTAGCACAAATATTTATGTGTTCCTTCTTTATAAATGTATTTAAATGAAATGGTGACCTTTGCATGACAATGTTACATTGGTAGTTGAAACCTAAGAACATTGATTGAATGATGTGACAGTATAGCTCTAGCCTAGGAGCTATAGCTCTACATCCTGACAATGGATAAATAGTAAATGAGAGCTGGAGTCTTGCTTACATTTGGCTTTATCTGTTACAGTACAAGCATTGTTGCACTAACAGTGCTTGTAGAGTAGAATTAGCCCGTGGAGCAGAGCTTCTCCTTATGATTACTGATACTTTCATCAGCATCAAACATAAGTCAGTGGAAGACATTAGAAAGTTTTCGACTGACTTGCGTTAACTTGCATCTAATATTTAGCACCTGTGTAAGTGAGTCTGGATGTGACTTGATAAACATAAACAAAGTGCACATCAAAATAAAGAAAATTGAAAAGGTGAAGAAACTCCAATGTCCAATGTTTAATAAATCATATAAATTCTGCCAGTTGCTTAATTGTTTGACCAATAGAGAATAGTTCACAGATACCGTAGCAACAATAATATCAAGGCTAAAAGAAGATTAGGTCAAAAAAGGTCCCTAATGACACTGCCCTGTTAGGGCAGAAAATATTTAGTTTACATATATTCACTTAATGCTAAAGACCATATACATTTTTCCAATAGTGAAGTGAGTAGAGGCCTTTAGTGGAAAGTACCAACAAAAAAAAGACACACCAGTATATGTAAAACAAACTTTGTTAAATTCTTATGAGCAGTAATATTAAAATGTTTGAGTGTCTTTTATCAATCAAAGTAGCTCTAAACCACACATCCAAACTAATTTAATTAATTGGACTCCAGGTGTGCAAGCTACTGACTCTAATTAGCTTTCCTTGATGTAATTAGTCTATCGGTTCACTTATTTTTTCCTCCAGCACTGAGAATGTTTAATGGGTGTGTTCAATAAAGACACGAGAAATTAGAATTATTTGTGTGTTATCAGCATAAGCAAATTGTGTTTGTCTATTGTTGTGACTTAGATAAAGATCAGATCACATTTTATGGCAAATTACTGCAGAAAACCAGTTAATTTCAAGGGGTTCACATACTTTTTATTGCAACTGTACATATACCCAAAGTGGATCTCCTTCTCATTACAAGAAGCACTGAAAGCAAAACTCAGCTGTGCTGGCTGTTGCACTCTTCACACACATGACTACTGCCAATATACTCACTCTGCATGGATTGAACAAAAACTCCATTAGAAGCAACAGCTAAACACAACATTTCAGTCAGTGCCTAGTAAGGGTGAATGTTGCATATTACTTCCATTTCATCAAGTGTCTGCTTTTTATTCAGTCCATGCAGAATGGATAAATTAGCAGACGTAGGGGAGGAGAGTGTCTCCTCCATTGAAATTACAAAAAGCTCTGGGAAAGAAGATTTTACATATTTCTTGTGTCCTTTGCTGGTATCTTTCTTCCCAGGGTATTTAATTAGGGATGTATGTCATTAGTATCTGCCTGCTGATCCAGCAGCTTACCATAAAAATAAATATGCAAACTTCCACCTGCTTAAAATGTAGTAAACAAAAACCGAAGCTAAACATATTTTTAACCTTTTTTATTACAGCATGTTCATTGTGTTTTACTGTATATAAAATATATTATTTATATGACATCAAAGTTCCAGGTTCTCTTTAAGAACACAAAGAGGTTTGTTTCCTAAAGGATAACAGGCTGTCCACTTAGCAAAGTGATTTGCCACTTTGCAGAGGATTTTTCATTAGCTTAGTAAATGAAGTGATGCTCTTCTGACTTCATCTATTCATGTATAAGCAAAATTCTGTTTGTTTATTTTCCTTTGATATGATATTGGTAATTCTTTGCCAAATTAACTTTTACCACATTTACAAAACTAGGTCAAAATTCCCATGGAAGTGAAAATTCTCTTGCAAACTGAACATGCTCTACTTTCTTAGTAAATCAACCCCAAAGTGTCCAGGAGGAAAGCATCTGTGTTGCCAATAGCCACCAATTAAACTTTTGGATTTTTATTGTGGAACAAGTTATAAATTGAAAGAAAAAAAATCAACACAGGAAGTTTCCTTTTAGGCACTTTTTTTACACTGTGTCCAATCAAGTCTAGAACTTATATATATATGCCAGCTAAATACATGCATCGGAAGTCATCAGGAATAGCCTGCTTTGACAATGCTAATTTAAAAAAATCTTCTAGGCTACTCCAAAGGCACTTACTGTACATCACTGCTCAATGCACTAAATTGTTTTGTTGTTTTGTGTCATCTTAAAAAGAGGCATCCTACACAAAAAGTGTTACAAGTTTAAGCATACATTTTGAGAATAAAAATGGGGTAATAATAACGGAAAATAATCTTTTTATTTTGGCCATACCTCATATATTTATACTATCAAATCAGACCTACTGTCAAAATATAAATCAATATTTTATCTTGCTATGGAGGTGGAACTGTTTCTTAGGGTTTGACTCCATGTTAGGATTATATATTCTCTGAGCTGCAGTATATTTTTACAGCATTCAGTCAGTTCAGGATGTGAACTATACCTTAACAGGAATGAAAAACTCCAGGAAAATATAAAGAGTTTTAGTAGGCAAATGATACAAATAACATGCAGAGAAGAATATTTGAAAGAAAAAATTATATATATAGTTTGAACTCTTTTCAATAATAGTGTCCTGTGGACCGTCCAGGAAGAGTTGGAGGTCAGAAGGTCAGAAGAGAGATAGAAAAGTATTGAGCATAGAACATATTTTCAATCCCTCTCTAGTATCTGCTTCCATCCTGTAAGTGTATGCACTGAATTATCCTATTACATTGAGATGAAGTAATCTCTAGGCATACAATACTCTGCTTCAATTGAATCTGTCACTTTAGAAACATGGGCTTGCCATTGCTGGCTTGTTTTAGATGTGCAGGCTGCAGAGCTATTATTTTGACCTTTATAAATACGGATGAGCAGAATTAAAAGTTTTATTTTCCAAAAAATTTGACAAACCTGGAAATGTTTTGTAAAATGTCACCATTTAGGTAAAATGCATTGAAATCAATGAGGAAGGCAAAATTAAGCAGGTTTTTTTTGCTGAGTATTATAGTTGCAGTGGGCTTTACACAGCCCCCTGGGATAGGTAAGCTCCCTTTAACTACACTGGATTTGTTCTTTTGCTACAAATAACAGCCCTTCATTGGCCTCAATATTTAAAAAAAATTCACAGAGAAAAAAAAGACTAAAAAAATTGAAACATCATATTACATAAAGTCAAATAATATAAAAAATGGAAAAACAAATATAAAAACATTAGATGAAATACCTACTCTAAATACATGCCACTTCTGCCAGTAAACAAAAACCTCACTCTTCAAATAAAAAAATGTGTTTATCAAATTTCACATTAGAAGCTCAACAAGTGAACTGCAGAGTTCTGCTTTTGAACAAATGTTCTAGCAGTGGAATTGGTAATTTCATGGAAACAACAATTTGTGAAAGTATCTCCCTTTATCGCTATTCATTACCTTTTGAGTCACTATCCATCTTTGTTCCACGTTACTAATTCAAAGAAATGGGTTAAACAAGTTCCTTATTTCTTAATTAAAAAACCATTAAAATACCTGCAACACCTCCAAAGAAAACTCCATAGGTAGCGATGTCTGCATCAAAACTCAACAATGGCAACTCCCATATTTCTGTCCTCACAGGTTTTCTTAAGGTTTGTCCACTTGTACTTTGTAAGAATAATTTAGCATGAAGACAAGTCAAAGAGTAATCCAGTGAAATACATTTCTCCTGAAAATGACAGAACTAATGGTAATGCCTCATAGTTATCATGCAATTTTTCTATCTTACAAATTGGAAGCAGCTTTTTTTTAGGAGCTCTACTTTAGGAGGTCCCAAGCTCTTTTGTGATCCAGTTATGACCCAACATGTATGGTAACTGAAGTATAATATTTATCGATATTCATCGATATTCATTCATCTTGAAAAGAATAATAATCTGGAGGCAAACATTAAATGGCAAATTCATTTCCCAAATATATTTCTTTTGTGAGCATATGTAAATGAACTACTATTCACAATTTTCCAAACACTCGCTGTTTAATTGTATAATACAAATTTTTAATGTCAACCCTGTTTTTGTTTATTTCTTTTTATAGGAAAATAAGACATAAAATATATATTGTACAAAAATTGACTGCTGCTTTTGGACATGATATCAGATGTGGTATATGGAGATGAGAGCCTGCATTACGTTGCACAGAAACACAGTTTCCTAGTTGTCTTTTTTGATTTTTTTTGTTAGGAAATGATGTGTCTTAGTAAATTCCGAGATAGTGAAAAATGGGTGTAACATGAACATGAGTTGAAACAATTGAACATTGTCATTATAAACCCTGTTTTTGTTGATAGGATGAAACTCACTCATTTCACACATACTAGTGCAAAAAATTGTGCAGAAATATTTTGCAATGCCAGCTGAATGGAAAGATTAGCAAACCACCCATTGCACAACAGTCCACAACAGTGTCTCATAAATCTGGTTCATTTTAACTGTCACATAGTGTCACTGATTTCATGGTAAAGCATTTAATGTATGTGCAACCATACAGAAGGTTGTCCTCTACTTTCAGTGTGTGTCTTTACTCCTCCAGGACATTCATGTTTGTTGGGATACAAAAAATATATGCACTCTGATGATCTCACTCATCAAAGTAGCTGAGGATTTATCTGAGTGCCCAAAATATTGCAGTGAAAGGCATCCAACCACAAATATGTGGCATCATAATAACAACTGGTATGATTTGTTTGTCTTCCTTACGTATTCCTCAATGGCAAGAAGATTGCAGACAGGCATTGTAATCCTCCTTTAAAGAAAGGAACATTCTTCATGTGATCTTCAGAAGACTCAACTCATTCAATGGACATCAAAGATGTATCTACCGTTTGCTGACCAATGGTGTTTGAGTTTGCAGCTGCAAAGCAGAGAGTATTGGTTTAGGGCACCAATGGAATTTTTTGTTTGTCCTTCAGAGGTATGGCTATGAATCAGTCTTAATGGACTCCAAAGGCTATACCACTGTGCATACTGTGTTTAGTGTTGTGTCAAATCTAACAGCTTTTGCCTCTGTGGGTTTTAAGTTTGTATCATACATTGGGTTTTCAAATGATGCTTGTCCATTGCTATTTTCATGACCAGCATATCCATTGTATTGCACTTTGGGTCTTGCTCTAAAAAAATAAAATATAAAAAAACAAAAATATTAGCAGTGACTAAATCAAACAAGACAAAACTATGTTTAATGCAAGATTAAAAAAACAAATCTAGTTTTTTAGTTTTGGAAAGAACCTATGTAACGTTGTAGAATATGCACTGTCCTAGTAACATACTGTTACACCCTGACACAAAGAGTTTTACAGGACAGTAAGTGAAGGGGAAATCTCCCAATGAGAACACATCAATCAAAACTTTAAAATAAAAAATCTTTTTTTTGGTGGTAAAACTGGAAAATAACATGATAAATGAATATTTAAAATCTTTAGTTATGATTTTTTCTATTAGTTCAGATATAATCACTACCACTTTTTGGTACATTTCAGTTTAAAGGTACAAGATATCTGTTGTAAATTAACAGATTTATCAAAAAGCAGGTTTGAGTTGTATTTCTCTGTTCTACTAAAATGGTATTTTCATAGCCCAACTTTTATAGAGATTTCTTTCTATCTAGTTGGCATATGATCCCAATACCTCTACACATAGCTACACATAAATAAACAAATGAGGTTCTAACCCCTTTTAATTTTTGATGGGGTTTTTTGCTGTCCCTGATGGGGAAATGCACCTTCTCTTCTCTAGTGACCATTATTATTAAGACAGAAAGCGGTGGAACATCCAATTGTTACAGTTGTCACTAGAACAAGAGGTCAGGGAAAGTCTAACACCAAATATATCTGTTTCAGTATAAACAGATTTTTCACTCACATAATGCTGTTTTTCTGGGAGAGGAAAGTAAGGGAAATATCCCCAAACACAACACAGACAGCAAAAAATAATCTGAAAGATATTTTAACACTACCATGCTCTAAAACAAGAAAAAAAGTATCTAAGTAATATGTAAAAAAGTTAGATGTCCATACATTGTGACATATGGAAAGGGGAAATCGTTGAGGGGCAATATATTTCCCCTTGCTTTCTATCATATGTACAAGACTAGTGGAACCCAGACCAGGTTTTAGGGTAGACTTTGGGTCTGGGTAATCCAGTCTGGGTTTTTTGTCTGTCACCTGGATTGTTTAATTGATTAATGATTGATTATCCAGGTGAGATAAAAGGAGAAGGCTGGAGAATGATGCTGCTCTGGCCTGGGACTCAAACAGCATTCTGAGAGAGCTGAAAGTGGGATATATTTTTGTGAGTAAAAGGTTGCTGAAAATACTTTGGTTTAGGGCTTGTTCACATGACAACCGGATTGTGTCCGGACCAGAACCATGCACTCCTGCACCCAAAATGCATCCCAATGTATCCCTATGTGTTTTATGAGCTACAGTTCTCATGTGCGCAGTCCGGTCCGGACAGAGAAAATACTGCATGTCACATTTTGTCCGGTCCGGAAACGCAGGAACGCGTCAAAAACGCACCACAAATGCACCTCACTGCAGTTAACATACTGACAGCCCCACTCCAAACAACATTTTTCCTGTCAGCTCCATGTCAGCACACGAATGGGTTAATCCCCTCTCTCCTCCCACCTAACAGGATCTTAACTCATAAAAGAGATTCAGCTGTCCCAGCCCATTGTTCCTTTTTTTCCCTCCTGCTTCAGGATCGAGGATTGCAGCTTACCTTGCAGGGATAAAGTCCTTGTAGTCCACCTTCGTTTGTGCATGAGGTGAGGTCCCCCGGCAGTGTCTAAAGGTCATGTGTGTGGGAACCCCGCTGATGGTCGCGGGGCTATGCCAAGGCATGCTCCCATTATGGCTAGTGTGGGGGGTCTGTTCAGCAGCAGCGTGTCTCCGGCTGCCAGCGCTGGAACCCTGTGCGCTCCACGGGCACCTCGTTCGGCGCTACTGCGCAGGTGCAGTAATGGCCGTGCGCTCCACCATCTCCGATGCGGACGCTGTGCGCTCCACGGGCATCTTGTTCGGCGCTGCTGCGCAGGCGCGATAATGGCCGTGCGCTCCACGGTCTCTGCTGGCTGCGAGGTGATCTCGGAGGGGGGCGGAGCTACGAATGGGCGCTCTGTTTAAATTGAAGAGGGTTGTGGCTCTCTTACAGGTTGTCCATCCTGCCTTCTGACGTCCTCACCCTTCAGGCTTCATCAGGATCCAGCAGCCCTGGCTGCCACTTCCTGCATAAAGGTATGATTATGCTGTGACTTCTGGTATTCCTTCCGGATGCATGGGACTGTTTGTTTACATGATATGCCTTCTTTGCAGCATGCCTTTGGACAAACAGACCCCCCCAGCAGACCATCACAGGCAAAGAAGGTAGGCTGTAATCCTTTACCTCGTTGGATTGGCGGTCTAATAGACGCCTACAGTTTCACCATAGATTTGCCCCTGTCATAGGATTCCTTTTTTTCTGTTTTGTCATAGTTCATCTGGCTCACATTCGGTTCATTCCAGAGATCGTCGACGTTCGTCTACTAGCAGACGGAGGTCCCCCTCTAGGGAGCGACGTTCTCCACACCGACATGACAGAAGGTTACGGGAGCGCTCTCCGTCTGTAAATCAGCGGAGCGACGCTCGCCATTCACCACATTCACGTCACCCTCAACCACCTCCAACGGGGTGCTGGGCGTGTCCTAATATGGCACTACCAGGCAAGACAGCCTGTGAACATTGCTTCAGAGTGGCCACGCAGGAAAGAGTGGTGGATAGCCATCAGGTGTTATCAATGATGAAGCAAATGTTTCAAGATACACTGAGGGAGTTCTCTGACAGTGTTGCTCCCCGTTCTCAGGTTCAACCGGGCACCAGTCGGGACGCGGAGCCTAGGCCGGGCCCCTTGGGAGCCAGTGCCGCTACTCGAAGAGCGGATCCTCTGGAGGACCGATTGGGCTCATCATCTGAAGAGGAAGGTGAGCCGTTTGACGGTTTTGACTTTGCTCTTGTGCAGCCGTTTGTTAAAGCGGTCAGACGGGCTCTCCTTTGGGAGGATGCTGAGGAGCAGCCTGAGAAGAAGAGGCGTTTCTTCAAGCAGGTCAGAAAGGAAATGCTTTCTTTTCCCTTCCTGGACGAGCTTAAAGATGTGATCACTGACGAGTGGAGTCAGGTAGAACGCAAACCTTCCTTCCGCAATAAGTTTTCCAAATTATACCCGTTTAAAAGGGAAGATGTGAAACAGCTGGAAGATTCACCTGTCGTGGATGCTGCGCTAATGCGGCTTGCCAGGCATGTCACTCTCCCGCTGGATGATGCCGTCACCTTTAAGGACGTGCTGGACAGGCGGGTTGATCTGGACCTTAAAAAGGTCTATCTATTGGCCGGGGGCGCTTGCAAACATGCGGTCGCTGCGGCCGCGACTTCCAAAGCCCTTGAGGCCTGGGTGGACAGCGCAGAGACGGCAGTATCGAATGATGTCGGTAAAGCCGAGATCCTGGATCTGCTGAAGCACATCAAGCTCTCCTCTGTCTTCTTCGCAGAAGCTTCCTTAGACATGGTTAAATCCTTAGCTAGGATTATGTTATCTGCTGTCACGGGAAGGAGAGCCCTCTGGCTCAGGCCTTGGCTTGCGGACCCAACTTCCAAACAGGGTTGGTGTAAGATCCCTTTCGAGGGCCAGTCCCTGTTTGGAAATAAGTTGGATGCTGCGATTGCTAAGGCAACAGGCGGCAAATCTGGTTTCATTCCGCAGGACAGGAGACTGCTCAGACAGAGAAATGCCTTTTCCAGAAAGGCGGCCTTGGACAGAGGAAAGGATGCTCGGTCCTATAGGCCAGGCAGAGAATTTCGCAGACCATGGAAGCCCAATACTTATTTTCCGAATTCTAAGAAAAGAGGCGCAATGGCGAGTCAGGGCCCCCAAAAGTCCTTTTGATGGGGTGTCCGTTCAGGCCTGCCGGGTAGGTGCGAGATTGGCCAGCTTTTGGCAGGTTTGGGCGGACCACGTCATGGATCGCTGGGTACTGAATACGGTTGCACGGGGCCACCATTGGGGCTTTTACAAAACCCCCCATCCCTTTTTTCTTCCAACAAAAATCCCTGTTTGCCCAGGACAGAGGGAAGTCCTTTTTCATATGTGAACAACCTAGTTGCCCAGGGGGCAGTGGTGGCGGTAGCCTTTTGGGAACGCTTTTCAGGCGTCTATTCTCCTCTTTTTCTAGTACGAAAAAGGTCGGGGGACTGGAGGCCGGTGATCGACTTGAAGCACCTCAATCACTATATCAGGAAGCAGCACTTCAAGGTGGAGTCGCTGCAGACGATTTTGAAAATTGTCCAACCGGCAGATTGGATGCTTTCCATAGATTTGCGGGACGCTTATTTCCACATCCCAGTCCAGCATTCTTTCCAAAGTTTTCTTCGTTTTGCTCTGGGCCACCTCCATTATCAGTTTGTCTGTCTCCCCTTCGGGCTCACAACCTCTCCACGAGTTTTTTCCAAAGTTCTTCTGGCCGTGATCGCCCCCCTGCGGGAAAAAGGGGTACGCGTCTACCATTACCTAGACGACATTCTCCTTTTGCATCAGGACCGGGAGCTTCTGCTGGAGCATATCTCTCTTGTGATTTCTGCTCTGGTGAAATTCGGGTGGCTGATAAATTGGGAGAAGAGCCATCTTGTTCCCACACGGGTCTTAGTTTATCTGGGCGCCAGGATAGATACGCTTCAGAGCACAGTGTCTCTCCCTCCGGAGAAGATTCCGTTCATCCTGGATCGGCTGGCCCCGGTCTTATCAGCGGATCTTCTCTCGGCCACTCAATGCCTGCAGGTTGTGGGCACGATAGTGTCCACAATACCTATGGTCAAATGAGCTCAGTGGAGGTCACGCCCCTTTCAGATAGGGTTCTTGATGCAGTGGAAGTCGGAGGACTTCTCTCAGTTAGTTCAGGTCACAGCCCGGATGAGGGAGGGTGTTGCCTGGTGGCTGCAGGAAAAAAATCTGCTCAATTGCCAGTCACTGGATCCGACCGAGTGGTTAGTGATGTCCACAGATGCCAGCGAGTCAGGCTGGGGTGCCAGTTGTGCTGGTCAGGTAGCCCAAGGCCAATGGACGTTTCCTGCGAAGGGGATGG